TTTCATGTTCCTTCTCAGCGACCCTGCTATCATCATCATCATCATCATCATCATCATCATCATCATCATCATCATCATCATCATCATCATTCCACTTAATTCATAAGACAGTTCGAGAAATCTTGGCAATGTAGTTCATCTGTACTTCTTCAGTGGAACCTAAATCTGAATATCAACAATTTCATTCTTTGCATTACCCTAATCCAGTAGATTTTTTCAAAAAGTATTCATCTACAGCAGCGGTCCCCAACCTTTGTTGGGGTGGGGAGAGGGAAACAGGGTCGTGTGAGTGGCAAGCTAGCGCACAAGCAGCTCAAGTTGTGCAATTTGAGCTGTGTGCAGACGCGGATGCATGCTGGCCTGCTGCTCGTGTAAATCAAATTGTGCATACATGCATGCCAGCATGGCACTCATGGGGCCCAGTTCCAAATTGGCCATGGCCCAGTAGTGGGCCGCGCCCTGGGGGTTAAGCACCTTTCATCTACAGAGCAGGAAACTTCCATATGGAACATGTGTGCTGAAAAGCTGTTAATTTTTGGGAGATTCTTTTATAGAAGTCATTCGGCTATGAAAGCATTTTGAAAGAGAACACACCTTTCTGTGCATTACATTTTCTACCGAAAAACAGCATTTCTTTTCAAACGTCACCAGGATTTCATTACATAAACTTGTATGTAGCATGTACTTTAAATATATCTCTGTTTATTCTTATTCAGTCATCTGCATGACTGTAGATAAACGGGTATATTTAGGCATTTCCTCTTTAAGCTGGAAACAAAAACTGCCAACAATTTTTGCCCCAGGATGTTGTCATCAACACCACCCTTTGTGCTTTTGTTTCAAAGCCTTCTGGATCAACACATCATGCCTACAGACTTCACAGGAACAGATTTACAGTTATTTGCTTCTGAGGGCAAAGGCACAGGCAATTAAGAAAGGGAGGTGGCAATCTTGTAGCCCTTTATTGTTCAGCTAATAATAGATAGCACATCATAAGGAGATAAGCCTGTCATTTATTGTTTATTACCTTAAGTAGCAGTATCAGAATTCCAGATCTGTCAGTTTTCAACTAGCCAGTCGATAAGAAAATGAATATGGTTTTGGAACTGGCTACTATTATTTATGCTATGTTGACTGGCAGGTTAAAGGTAATGCATGCTAAACATTATTACCACTGCAGAACCATTGAAGTGAAGATTCAAATGAATTTTATTCAGAATGCCACTGGGATTCAAAGCTGGATCTAACCAGGGGGCTGCCAGAATCAATCTCCAGAGGAAAAAGTGGGGTGGTGGTAGTAGAGGATGGAGATTGTTCCTATAGTTCCATGCTGAAAAGTCTTTTATATCTTTCTTAGATATGAGAGAGATATAAGCTAGTGGTAGTCACATGTTCATTCCAGGACATGCTGAAAAAGGGGCCTCAACATTCTAACAGAGTGACACATAACTTTAAACAGATAAGATTTTTTGTTTTTTATAAAAAGACCAGACCCTCCTGCTGTCTTATAAAAATTATAATGTAAGTGCAATATTCATCTGCTCCCAGTCAAATCTGGAGAAGTTGTCTGATCATGAATCTACTGCCAAAAACCAGAACAGACTTGGTGTCTTCTGAATCCCTACTGCTGAAGGATTCAAGCCGATCGTTTCAAGAACTTAGTTCAGGTTCCTACTCTAACTTTTAGTGGAATATCTCTCAAGGTTCTTAGGAGACTTCACAGGATGTTGCAGACTTCTTTCTTTACTCATGAGGTGCCAAATATATCCACAGAGATCCTTCATGAACAATAGAGCTTTCTGCCACATAAACATAAATAAGGATGAAAAGATTCCCCTCCCCATGTATAAGCTAAGTGACAAAATTGTGGGCTTCTGCATCCAAGTACTTCACAATCAGGAACACCTTGATTATAAACTATATTTTGGGGGCCTGAACATAAATTAGAGTAGCTTAGCACACTATCTGCTGCTGTGACTGCCCTTGTATCTTCATTCCCAGAATAGGAAGTGTATTACATAAAGTATTAGGATGGTGCTAACAAAAGCTCAGGCGATACCTATGCGAGTCATCGTGGCTGAGCTTCTTAGTTCTGTTTCTAAAAAGACATTCAGTTTGCCGTCTCAGTGAGAAAAGAGGAAAAAGCATGTTTAGAGAGGCAGTAATCCATCATCATGAAAACAATTGGTAGCAATAATTCTTTCAAAAAAGAAAAAAAGGAAGCTGACACATAAGAAAATGAAGCAACTTCCCGCACAATAAGGATTTCGGTACTTACGCTTTTTCCAGAAAAGCATCCCTGGACATGTTCTGTGCCAAGAGGTTTGTTGCCAGACTGAAGATTTCTTCTGACCATTCCTAAACAGAGGGGAAAAAAAAGGTGGGGGGATTCCATTTAGATTCATCCAATAGGAACTTCTCTTCAAGGTTCTCCTTGAATGGTGACACCAGCGTTAAGCCTTCCCATAAGAAAACAATCAAGGTTGGAAGAAGGGTGTAATAAGCGAACAGAAATGGACAGGTTTATGGACAAGTATGAAAGAGAATGGGGTAGAAAGTATGGCGAATGGGACTGTTGTGTTAACGGAGAGAATCAAACAAGAATGAATAAGAAGTACGATCCCATTACTAACAATCTCATCATACCTTTATATTGTGGTTTGGATATACAGGTAGTCCTCCACCTATAGCCACAAATGGGCCCAGAAATTCAGTCACTGAGTGAAATGGTTATTAAGTGAGATGCCACCTGACCACTTAGCAATAGCAGTTAGACTTATATACCGCTTCATAGGGCTTTCAGCCCTCTCTAAGCGGTTTACAGAGTCAGCATATCGCCCCCACAATCTGGGTCCTCATTTCACCCACTTGGAAGGATG